TTTTGTTGTACATATCAGACCATAGAAATGATCCAATAATGATCCATGTTTAGACGGGGCCGTAGCGATAGTCCGAAGGTTCAATAGTCCGAAGGTTCATTGGTCCGAATGTTCACTGTAGAACCTTCGGACCAATGAACCCTTGATTAAAAAATCGATAAAAATGTTACCACTTTTCGGACCAATGAACCTTCGGACCAATGAACCTTCGGACCAATGAACCTTCGGACTATCGAGACGCCCCCGTTTAGACATGGGGCTTTTCGCGAAAAATAGTCAGACGGATTTTTTTACCCATGGTGTTTGAAGAAATCTACATGTACGTTTACTCAGTAAATCTTGAATACCGAGAACAATTTCGACATCAAATGCAAACTATTTTCTAGCAGCTCAATCTACGAGAAAATTTTGATCTAACCCATGATAAAAATTGTAGAATGGATAAATGAGTAGTTTGTCTGACTTTTTACACGCGCACTTGTAAATCGTACATGTAGCATGTCTTTACAGCTAATACACACCGTTTGCAAAACGTTGAAATAGTTGTGATTTTTTAAAGAAAATAAATAAATTGAATAATAATATGAGATGCCCCAGTCGAGAAAACACCTAACGTTTCCTCCAGCGTTTGACGTAAAGGCAAGTATTAGTCAGCTTGAGAGCGTTCCCAAACAATAGTTGCGCCCACTGACTCATTCCCACTTGTTACCTATTCTTAGCACAATCATCGACATCACATTTAAAGACATGCCCTCGACTGTTAATTCAACACCAAATACAACGGTTTCATCAATCGATTGCTCTTAGTGAGTAAACTATCATTTTAACAAGGATTCATTACAAGACGAAATATCCGACACTCGTTCCGACAAAGAAGGCCGCCTCTCGCTGTACGTAACAGTCACAATACGCGCCAAGCGCGACGTCGTATTGACAGTCTATATAAATGTTAAGTTGAAAAGAAGATCAAGCGTATCGTCATATCCTGGGCCCATAAAGCCAGCACCTTTATGAGAAATTAATTGAATTAGCCCCTCCTCCTCGTCGATATTTTGCCCGTCGGACGCCCGCCACACAAGACGAGCTCGTGAAGTGACGTCATGCACGTTGGCTGTTTTAACCACTATTTATTTTCTCGTTCGAATGATGCGCTATTGACAGGTACTACACTGGTTAAAAATTGTAGGAGTTTCTTAGCATCATCCCCTTTTTCCGATTATTTTCCGATATATCTTTTTATATTTATTTATTCATATTTTATTCTTTTCTATTTTTATTATTTTAATCCTATTTATTCATCTTCTTGTTATCAATTATTTGTTTGTGCCACTCATATTTTCTGTTAAAATCTTCAAGACGGTAGGTGCCACAAGTTCTAAAGTCAAATAAATCCTTTTATTATTCATTCTTAGACTTTTTAAAAGTAATTTCATAAATCATAATTTTATCAAGAATATATTTTAGTAATGTTTCATTAATTATCTGAATTTATGAAAGTTCACATGTGCATTTATTCTTTTCTCGTGCACTCTGTCGATCCATTGTTAATCTGAACATATCCCCTATCTGAGTATCTTTATTACTTAGAGCAACTACCATCAACTGCGTTGATTAATTATAGTAAAGAAAGTTTAATTAAAATAATGCCTTATTTTACGCCTAGCAATGACCTAAAACCAAAGCTAAGACACCAGAAATCCTAAACTTTCGACGATTTGTAAAATTGTGAAAATGATGAAAAATTTAATTTTCCTAAAGTTTTTTTTTTTTTTTTTTGTATTTCCTTCAGGAAAAAGATATCAGGAAAACTAGAAAATCTATTGGTTTCTGTTAGATGCCTTATTAGTTTTCGTGCCCTATTTCAAAACAAAAAAATCTGCATCTTCTCAAAATATTTTACCGTACGTAACTTATACTGTAGACGTTAAAATATATAAATATATATTTGATACCGTACTGTTTCTGTAATATCGAACTTAAAAGAGGTGCATTTGCTGATACTTTAAAAGAATTCTATATCATTAAATAGTGCTTACATAGCAACTGGATAACAAATTGTTTTGACAGTGCGTAAAAGAGCAAGTTAGCTGAATAAGATACAGTTTTACGAAACAAGCTAATTGTACAATGCATCGGTTTTTACAAAAAGGTTAATTTCATAAGATGATTGAGATTCTCTTTGAATAAATCTGTAACATTTTTAATCTAATTACTCCTTTTAATAAAATATTTAATCCTCAATTCTTCCAGACTTATCTGCAAAAAATAATAAGAATAGAAAAAAAAACTTCTCGTTACTTTATGTAGGTAAGTGTTGAAAGCAAACCAGCGAATGAGCCGGGTCGTAACTGTATGTGAAAAAAGAATTTTGTGCTAGAATTTGACCTTTGCTCCCTGTAGCCGAGCGTGAAAGGTCGGCTTACACCGATATTTGTCAAACAGTAAATTAGTAGGAATAGCTACCGCCACAACTATGGTGAAGAACAGATCAAAACACATCGGCATATGAGAAAGAGCTTAAATTCGAAGCTAGGACTACGTTGTATCAGCGAAAATACTCTGTTGAAAAACTCTCGTTCTTGATTTTCGGACATCTTGCCTACGCCCTTGTTGCTGCCTTGAATTTGTCAGGAAAATGCATTTCAGTAACAGTTCTATTTAATTGTGATTGAAATATCCATTCGTTAAGTGATTTCTTGGGAAAAATTTTAAACTTTCTCATATCATATGGTGATAAAGTTTGAAAATGTGTTAAAAAGGTATAGATGTCAGCCGTTTTGAAATCATTTCTGAGGTATAGGATGCAAAAGTGAATATTTTTCAAGATCCACATATACCCAATCAAAATATTTCGTGTTCCTACTTTTTCACTATAAATTTGAAATACCAAAACTTTCGAAAATGTGTTACGTTAGGCATTCCCAAATATGTGTGCTTTAATAGTATGTTGTACGCGCTCTTTATTATTTTCTTTCCCTTTTTTATTCTCTCTCTGGAGAAACGGCATCATCAAAATATCAAAAAATGACTAGTTTAACTTTATATAATCATATTTCTAAATGTAATGTAATTTATCTACTCAAATTACACAAACTATTCAAACAACACGTAAGCCAAGCACTGACGTTTATAAACAGTAAAAGTGAGTTTGGTCGTATATTTGTCTAATAATATATAAAAACTAATACTGCCTTTTCCCATACCATTGAACTTGGCGGGAAATTATGCCCGAACCAAGAAACCAAAACTGGATAAGCAGGTGAGTTTCAACCCGAGAGGTATCTTCGTCAATTGCGGCATAAAAATAGGGTTGATTTTTATGTTCGAGAAACCATTCTATGAACGTGCCGTGTCGATGTACTACATTGGAGTCATGTTTTACTATTTTATTGCGTGATCAGTTGGTAAACCGTCAAAGTTTTGAAAGATCTTTGGTCGTAAGCCCGACACCTCTGCTAATAAAATGTGCGTAAAAAGTGCACCGTTTATTCGACTAACGTGTGCGTCTCACCAAAGGTAGCGAGAAAAGTGTGTGTGTGTGTGTGTGTGTGTGTGTGTGTGTGTGTGTCCGAGCGCGTCTGACACACAGAGAGAGAGAGAGAGAGAGAGAGAGAGAGAGAGAGAGAGAGAGAGAAAGAGCGAGAGAGAGAGAGACGGGAGGAGGGTGCATAGAATATATACGCCTCCGTAGAAGTACGAGAATACATAGAGAAAAGAAATTGTCTGCGCATTTTCTTTGTAACTTCTTGGCTAACGTAAAGCAAACCCTGTGAGAACCGCCTCAACAAAAAATTGATTTAAACAACAGTGGAGCTTTACTCGACTTGGATTCTATTTCTAGGTGAACGCCCAGTCTCCAGACGATTTTTTTCTTCATTATTTAATCTGTAAACCATGTCGCTTTGACGCTGTTCGACTGCCCTGCGATTCTCGCTGAAAAGTCACGCTTCAAGAGCCCTAGAGAGCGTCTCGTTGCAATGACATACGATACAATTAAGATAAGGATCAACCTTTGAAGTCACCGACACAGTGTTAAAAGGTGTCTGCGCGCTCCGTTTTGTCAGCTTAAGGAGGTTACATCGGGCCATTTATCGCCATACATCTCCTCGGTCGTCTTCTGAATGAAACGGTTATGTTAGAACGCTTAACGGGGACTAAATAAGCTTGAAAGATATACAGTTTAAATTTACTTGACTGTTTTGAATTGGGAAATGGGAGTTTAATTGTCACGTTGTATTGCTAATGGAATGGGGACTTAAAATAGAAATATTATGCATCTTTTGCGGCGAGATTTTGATGAAATGGAGAAAACGGGCATGTTTGATTAGATGCCTTTTGATTATTTCCGCTTTCCCGTTTCACATTATATTAAGTATTTTCTTCCGTCTTGTCACCCTCCCTCTTCCCTCCTTCCCAAATTCCCTTTCTCAATCTCTCTTTCCCTTCTTCTCTCATTCACATTGCACTTACTTCGTCATGTTGAACTTTACTTTGCTAAAATACCTACAATTGCTGTCAAAAATGGACATCAGTTTTCTTCTTATTATTTTTTTTTTGGAGGGAGGTATTAGGTCAATCAAAGATAATATTTATAGATAAAAGTTCGTAATACGTCACTAGAAAAGTATGTTATCAGGTATAACATCATGATAAAGAATTACCCTGAAAATCAATTAAGGGCTTTTGGTCTTTGGTCTAACCAAAAATTTACACATGGAATTACACAACGTAATTTTCTATTTATGAAAGAAAATTGAGTTTATACATTTTCTTGTTTCAACCCCAAACGAGCCGAGGCAACCAATTGCTTGTTGCATTCCGAAATTCCAAAGTTATTCAAAACAACCAGGTATTATCTAAGTCATCGAATAATATTAATTAGATTTATGTCCATAAATCATTGAAAAATATTTAAAAATAAATAAAATACAATAAGGCCAGAAAAACCTGCGACGCTTGTGCCTAATTCAGTTTTATTCGTGACAGATTATTCAGGTGTATCTAAAATGACCAATTGAAAAATTTAATATTCAGATCTGATAAGCCACACGTAAATGAAAATGATAAAGAAATTCTTATTTTAAAATTGTTTTTTTTTCACCAAATTTATCTTTAAAAGTATGGCATTAAGTGGCTTTCTAAACAAGAATAAAAGAAAAAGAAAACAAATATGTAATAATTATATACAACTATAAAATTCTACTTCCCCAATGAAGAGTATGATTCACTAAACCAAATATTCTATAGTCCCAAACTCCAAAATAAACAAGTGATCTTCGAGCATTGGAATAATTATTCTAGTAGCTTTATATCTCTGTTCTTTTTAAATTGGCCATTTTGCATATTTGACCAAAACTTTCGAAAAGTAACTCATTAGCCAAAAGATTCCTTGGATATTAGAGGAGTCATGCTAAAAACTTTTTAATATACATACAGTACAGTCTTAAAACAAAAAAACCAAATTCTTGACACAGTATTTAAATACAAGCTAATCCCTTGAAACTATTTCATTGGCTGTAATACTAAATATCTTCATAAACCGCCATAGACCTGGCTACTATTTGATAACGCTGCTTGAAATATATTTTGCTTTCGTTCAATTGAATACCTAAATAGGTGTTGTATTTCGTCATCACAATTAAGAACACAGAACTAACTGTGTTGCATCCGTAAGCTGTATTTCAGGACATCCATTGTCGTGGCATTACTTTAACAATAAGCAATTTCGAAGAAGTAAAAATATCAACAATGTATTCAAAATAATTGACCCGATTGGCATCGGAAATTCGATGTTTTCTTGGTTGGGCTACATTTTGTTCACTTAATTGTTACGTTCCTAAAATTGCGAAAATTGAAAGAAAAAAGTGCACCGTTTCCCCTGTTTTGCCGTTGTATTTACAGCAACTGTATACAGTATGTCCCACTTAACTACATGTACATATATCAGGATTATTAGAATATTTACAATAAATGCACAGAGCGACCATTCCTTTCATCATGATTCTGTTTGTTTATACATGTATTTACATGTAACTCTGTTGATTATTCTTTTTGGCTCATATAAATATAATCATCAGTACTAAAATGGCATACAGCTTAAACCCTCTGTTTAAACAACATAGACACCCTCCTCACCCCCACCCCCACATTTTGTGACGATACACGCGCTCTGAACTTCTAATCAGCAATTGCCATTTTTATACTACATCACTCTGTGATATAAACAAATAAAGAATGTACAACTAACTGGTGCGGGTTTCAATATATACACAACGTCAACGCACCACAATGTCTTCGGATTTAAACAACGCCTTTGCGCGTTCGTTCAGTTTCTTTCTTTTCATCCGCCTGTTCTGAAACCAGACCTTGACTTGCCTCTCGCTGAGGTGGAGCTTGCAGGAGATTTCCCAGCGTTTCTGCCGCGTGATGTAGGCGTTGTTGAGGAACTCGTTCTCGAGGACCATGGTTTGGTAGCGGGTGTAAGGTTTCCGCTTCTTACGTTGTTTTGCTGGTTCTGGAGTAAAAAAGTACATGGTGATTAGTTGATTGGTAATCATCGGTTGCTGTTTCTAATGAAGCAAACCCGCTGATCTGCTTTCTATTATTCATATAAGGTGGTTCATAAAGTGTGAAATAATAATAATAATAATAATAATAATAATAATAATAATAATAATAATAATAATATTTAAACAATGGTCATGATGAGGATGAAAATTAGTATTTGTAGTAGTAGCACTAGTAGTAGTAGAAGCTGCACTACTTTTATTATTATTATTATTATTATTATTATTATTATTATTGTACAAGGCAGTGTATGATTTTTTGTTTTGAAACACATTTTCACCACAAAGATAAAACAAGACATTATATATAGACTCTACACATATCTATGACTACCACTCTGTTTTGTGCTGCAATGCTCTGAGACTATTTTGTGTTTGAACTATAAGTAGCTATCAATTTCAAGGTGCATTTTCCATGATTTGATTTATTTCGCAGGGAATTTTGATTTTAAAGAAATGTTTATACTGTCTCTCCTAAATACAATAAATACAATTTATCAATTCAAGTCAAACTATATTAAAATACATCTGAAGTTAATAGATCGTTTTATTTTTCATTTAACTTGTATAGCAGCATCAGCTATTGACAGTGTGCATTTGATATAAAATAAGTATACATACAAATGAAAGCCATTCGCTTCCTACCCCCCCCCCCCCCCCCACCACAACACAATATGTATCTTACACCTCTTTAGCATCTCCACACCATTTTAAATGGATGAAATATGACTTCCCATGGTTAACATTTCCGCTTGCTCTTTCCCTCTCCCTCCCTCCCGGCCTCGCTAGCTTTTCTGATGGGTTTATAATATCTCAAGGTAGGAGGATTCATCATTTCTAGTCCTAGTTAATTTGAGAAACCCTCCATAGCGGCCCAATTTGAAGCGTTTTCCACATTTTGCGGATAATGATGACGACATTTTGATGCGCGAGCGACATGTTACGCTTTGCTTCTCACTTTAAAGTGTGCTCGAGGATTCTTTGTGTGTACACGTGCGATTCTGAGTTGAAGGATTTTTTCTGCGTGTGTTCTTGAAAACGCATTTGTTTTTAATGGAAGTACGCGTAGAATCTCTATTGAAGAATGAGCGTGTTTGTGCACAGTACGAGAGTCGTATGTCATAATTAGTCTTATTTCAGAAATCAAAATTGGACCATGTATTAAACACGCGTATAGGAATGGCACTAAAGCTCAAGGAAAGATGAAAGTTGACTAAAGGGAATTTGTGAAGTAATTCCTAAAATGCCTCCACCCCAAGTCTAATATATTTCTTTCTTTTTGTAAACATGTGAATGATTTTATGCTATTCTAATCACTGCAGTTAGACATATATTTGACTTATCAGCTTAGCAAAGTCTTTAAATTTCAAGTGAAGAAATGTTGATATTTATATCTGGCTACATGTCTCTGTTTAATGGTGTGCAATATTAGATGCGTTGTAATTTTTCAATCAAAACATAGATAGTGTATATCATTAAATAAACACAAACACTGTATTCATTTTACCAATTGCAATGTCTTTCGTGCGTTTAAAAAGGCCACTTTGCTATCATGTATTTCTCAGAAACTCGAGATCTGCCCCTTTTATATTTTGCCCCAACTCCAACCCCCACCCCCAACCCTGTTCTGTTTTTATCATAAGAACGTTCGCGTGAACTGGTATTTAATAATACATGCAGTAATAATGTCAATCCATATCCCGTAACCGTTTTCAAGTCTTAATAGACGAAGAGATGTGTCTGATTTCTCGTCCTGATGTCGCTCATCTATAACTAATTGCTCGGCATCAGATTTATGTTGGTTTATCTGCTTGTCATACTTTCCACGCTTGGTGAACTAGTGTGTTACCGGAATTCATCTTGATACACCCCTGACGGGTAGGGTCACCACAAATGGGAACTTAATGGAAATTAAGAGCGCATATTTTGATAAATTGATGACTCTGTCGCAAAAACGAGAGAAAGATGAGGATGAGTTAATCGTGATAGCGTTTTAAATGCTCCTCTGTATATTTGCTGAGCGTTAATAGACCCTAGATAACATCTTTATCTGTATTAATCGGTCACGGAGGAGTAGGAAAATAACACAAATAATAAGGGCTGATAGTTAAAGTTGCTTTGAACGTGGTGTACAAGTGCCAGGATCTGTTTACTATGCATTCCACATCCTTCAAAGCTATTCCATTGAGATTTTTTTTCAATTGTTGTGGCGAAAATAAAAAACGAGAAATATTATATTACAATAAAAACGATAACTAAAAATATATATATATTGAGCAATGATGAATTTAAAAGACCAGAAAAAAAAAAACTAAAGAACCATAAATATGCATACAATATACTTCAATGTTGACGTGGAAAGGTTTCCTTGTTTTTTTTAGTTGAGTGCTTTAACTGTCTTGTTAATTTACTCGAGTTACTCATTTATTACACTGCATTTTGGGAACTAATTATTTTTCTGTAATACATTAGGCAATTACATAGTATTGGAATGTTTAGAATCCTATTGTACTATGTTGCATTTTGCCTCATGTATTGCTTCATACCGAATCATGTTATGAAACAATTTCATTTGTTAGTAAAATCTTCCTAACAGAATTACAGCATTAACTGACCACTTAATTTTAGTTTTCTAAATAATAAAACTTCCATGTGATATTTCAACGTGTTACATGTAGCTACACATTGAACTCTCTTGAAGTAAAGAATTTTATATTCTCTGTCTCCCTAACATTGCTGCACCACCTTACATACTGCAAATGGCAATTGGTATCAAGAGACATATGTCATTTCTTCAATGTCTTAATTACACTTTGCTACCTCAACTTCCGCGCTACTTGACGCTACTTTAAGTCACTAATGTGGGCACACCTAGACGGCCTGGCATGGGATAAAACGTGTCCATACTGATAAGTATTTTGAAGCGATTAGATTTGAATATGTATCGTACAAATTGATACGAACTGGGGTACTTTGAAATAGATGGGGCATCATAAGGAACTTTCAGGGACTTCAATGATTTTCAGAGACGCGTTGTTGTAATAGAATTAAAATGATGCCAAAGTGGCCCCGTCCCGCTGTTCAGTAGATATCTCTAAAGGTGGCTTGGAAAGAGAGAGAGAGAGAGAGAAAGAGAGAGAGAGTGAGAGAGAGAGAGAGAGAAACAAGACAGGAAAACTGATAGACAGGCCACAGAGGGGCGGGCTGACGGACAGACAGACAGACAGACAGACAGACAATACGAAAAAAAACTCTCACATGCTTACAACCCATGCACTAGATGCCCGCAAGAGAACACGCACACCCCTCTCATCAACCATAATAAACCAACTGTTCACAGCCACAACAAAAACTCATTTTCGGAGCCGGTGAAATCGACACTATAATCATAAGGTAGAGGGGGATGTAATGATTTATAATGATAGGATGGCGTAGTGAAATCGGGTTTTATACCCGCGTAATGGAGACCACTGGGTACAGATTTGATGCACGTCTGGTTTACAGTAAGATAGCAGCTGATACTGTATTTCTCCCTTTGTTCTATTGATGTTATTTTTCCTAATTATATCTATTTTTGTTTTAACCCTGCATGAGTTTTCCCTTTTATTGAGATTTTTCTATATTTATATCGTATTCCACGGAGCGTGCTGTAGGCTCAACAAGCGTATACATTGTTCAATAAAAAACGAAAGCAATCAATGAATAAAATCAATGATGCACCGGTAAAATATGTGATATGCTTTATCTATTTAAATATGTAAATCATTTATTTTATTTTATTACTTTGTAGTTCTATTTTTATTTAAAATCTCTACACACTTTCATCTGATTTAGNAACAGAATTACAGCATTAACTGACCACTTAATTTTAGTTTTCTAAATAATAAAACTTCCATGTGATATTTCAACGTGTTACATGTAGCTACACATTGAACTCTCTTGAAGTAAAGAATTTTATATTCTCTGTCTCCCTAACATTGCTGCACCACCTTACATACTGCAAATGGCAATTGGTATCAAGAGACATATGTCATTTCTTCAATGTCTTAATTACACTTTGCTACCTCAACTTCCGCGCTACTTGACGCTACTTTAAGTCACTAATGTGGGCACACCTAGACGGCCTGGCATGGGATAAAACGTGTCCATACTGATAAGTATTTTGAAGCGATTAGATTTGAATATGTATCGTACAAATTGATACGAACTGGGGTCCTTTGAAATAGATGGGGCATCATAAGGAACTTTCAGGGACTTCAATGATTTTCAGAGACGCGTTGTTGTAATAGAATTAAAATGATGCCAAAGTGGCCCCGTCCCGCTGTTCAGTAGATATCTCTAAAGGCGGCTTGGAAAGAGAGAGAGAGAGAAATAGAGAGAGAGAGTGAGAGAGAGAGAGAGAAACAAGACAGGAAAACTGATAGACAGGCCACAGAGGGGCGGGCTGACGGACAGACAGACAAACAGACAGACAGACAATACGAAAAAAAACTCTCACATGCTTACAACCAATGCACTAGATGCCCGCAAGAGAACACGCACACCCCTCTCATCAACCATAATAAACCAACTGTTCACAGCCACAACAAAAACTCATTTTCGGAGCCGGTGAAATCGACACTATAATCATAAGGTAGAGGGGGATGTAATGATTTATAATGATAGGATGGCGTAGTGAAATCGGGTTTTATACCCGCGTAATGGAGACCACTGGGTACAGATTTGATGCACGTCTGGTTTACAGTAAGATAGCAGCTGATACTGTATTTCTCCCTTTGTTCTATTGATGTTATTTTTCCTAATTATATCTATTTTTGTTTTAACCCTGCATGAGTTTTCCCTTTTATTGAGATTTTTCTATATTTATATCGTATTCCACGGAGCGTGCTGTAGGCTCAACAAGCGTATACATTGTTCAATAAAAAACGAAAGCAATCAATGAATAAAATCAATGATGCACCGGTAAAATATGTGATATGCTTTATCTATTTAAATATGTAAATCATTTATTTTATTTTATTACTTTGTAGTTCTATTTTTATTTAAAATCTCTACACACTTTCATCTGATTTAGCTCATAAGGAAAAATGCCTCAATTATTTAATGTTGACTTTAAGTATGGTTTGACAGCCTTATGAAATTGACCACAAATGTCAATAAAAGAAATTGTTTTGTTGGCCGCTTACCTATTGGCCCTGTGTATATTTAATTCTGTATACATACGCTAACTTAGTCCAATATCTTGTTTATCTGATCCACGTTTCTCTTTGAATTTGCATTTTACTTTATTCACTTATTAGTGTAACACGTGTTGCACTGTACACGTGTCTATATTACATGTATGACATTTTATATAATTATTAATAATAAATATTGTGAACCCCCAGTCTGCCCCTAATTTTTTCCTCTTTTCATCACTGGTGAGTACTAACTGGTGAGGAAAGTTATAGGAAACTTTTTTAAATTGTCATTACGTTTGAATGTACCAGCATATATTTTTTAATATGATGGGAATTATAATAACATTTGGGACATTATCTTAATAAGAATGTTTGACTAATTCAAAATAAATAAATAAATAAATAATTGACTTAAAGCAACAAATAATATAACAGATTACGTGCATGTAATGTTACCTTGGCAGAAAACCGTGAGTTCTTTATATTTTTCTTTAAAAAACAATTATATTTCTATTCACTTTCAACTTAATCGGACGCGTCATGCGTTCTGAGCAAAGAGAATATAAAAATTATATCTAAAAGGTTCATTTATCTACCTTTTCAAAACTTTAACATTCATGGGAAATATTTATTAACTTTATCTTTTCCTTCTTTGCTTTATTTATTCAAGCATCTGCTTTTCATTTTTTATCTGTGTACATGTATTACATGTCTCTGAAATTAGGCTTCTTATTTGTATTACGTGCGCCGATTTAAATATGTTCGCTTTAACAAGGGAGTAAATGAATATTTATTATTACATAATTTTGTATTCTTTTACCTTAATATTTTACCTTCAACAATTACTGTTGTTTATTCATACTATCATGCTTTTATCCGGGGATAAACATAGTAACCATTCCAAATGCTTGTTTTTTTTTTTTTTTTTTTTCTAATATAAAAAGATAAAAAATTTACCTGTAGAGGAAGTTTCCGATCCGCTGGAATTATTATTTTGGCACGAGACTGAAATGTCCCCTGTGTAAGCAGCAGTCTGGACCTGTAGCGTAGGACTCAGCTCCGCACTGGAGTACATGCCACCGTGGACCCCTGGATGCGCCCCATGGGACACGGGAACCCCGGCCGGGTTACTCGGGTACATGGAGGTGTCCCCATAAAGGGGAACCATCGCCCCTCGGGTCGGCAGGGGACTTATCTGCATCTGTTGGCAGCTTGGGAGGAAATCCCCTCCACCAAAATGTCCATACGGATTCTTGTGCGGATTCGGAACATTTGGGTAATGTGTGAGATTATAGGAGCCGTGGTGGTGAAGGTACCCTGCGTTTTCAGGGGCCGGGTTGTAGTTCCATCCATTTTGTGCCGGCATGAGGGGACGCCTCGTGATGTCCTGCGGTGGTGGCGCAGACGACAGCATCATGCCGCAGCTCATGGCAGGAACTTGTTGATATGTCGTCTGCACGCCAGAAGTTCGCTGCAAAATGGACGCAGCGTTGGACGAGTTCATCTAAAGGTGTAACACCTGGAAATTAAAAAAAGAAGAAAATGTAAGAAATTCGGGAGAAAATGACAACGCCATAAGTCCAATTGTCTAAAATCTAAAACAAAATTCTCTCCCACACCAAATTCCACTGATGGATTAATACATCTGGGTTGACCAGGTTCCCCTGAATAGGAGAGAAGGGGAAGCAAACGATCGAAAGCAATTCTAAGAAAAAAGTACCAAAACTCTGTAAGATGTGCTGCAATGGCTAGACGCTGGGCGAGTTCATTTTTAGGGGGAACACCTAATGTAACAGGCAAAATGATAAATATTCAGAAAAGAAGCAAACATTGTGAACTCTTTGCCTTCAGTAGGTGTTCAATTATTATCATCGTATTTGATATGTGGCTCAATTATCAGTGCGCCCTCCGATTTCAGACATCGCACTTACTTTCAATTGGTTTTGATTTGAATGTGTTGATTGAGGGAGTAAAAAAACTGATATGAAAAATAAGCAATGCATTAATAGCTATGAAAAATGAATTTCCGAATCAGGACTTTCATTGTAAAAGCAATTAACTATATACATATAATTACAACGGGATACATGTGCTTACTTTGGCATTAGCACTTATAATATGATATGTATATTAAAAATGATCCAATTCTGGAACGTCAATATTTTTTGCAGGCATGGTCAAAACGGTAAAGCAAAAAGTGTCTCGCGTATTTAATTAAAATCAAAGATGTTGTTCTACATTGTGTACGTATATGTAAGGTTACGCTCTAATTGAGTACTGTGCATGCAAGAGAAGAGATTTACAAATATTTACCAATGTTGACATTTTTAAAGAGCCCTGTAATATTCCGACTAATTTAGCCAAAATGTGGATAAGTACTGATTATTTGTATAACCATGCGAATATATGTTTTTAACAAACTGCAAATTAAAACTGTTTTGCCTCTGCCTAGCATTTAAAAGTTCTTATCGATATCTGGTTTTATTTTACATTTTTTAATTATGTTTCTACCCAATTATGCAAGTTTAGTCATTTATTTTTTCTTAGAATCTCAGGAAACACATAAGTACATTGAAAAGATACTAATGATTAGGTACTAGCAATCTCTACGTGATGGTCATACGGCCGACATGTGCTTGTGATGGACATATTACAGTATTTGCCTATTGATTTATTTTTACGTTTGATCAATCTCTTTGTTCATTTGTTTGCTAATCTTATAAGCTGTCAATCATTCTATGTGTTTGTTTGCTGATTCAGATATTCATTTGTTTCTCCTTAGCATTGTTTGTTACCTTCGCATCTGAAAACAATCTTGTTTCAATTATGCCTGATTGAGAAATAAATTCGTTTCGGCGCAGCATTAACATATTATTCAAGTTCTACCTAGTACAAAATGAAAACCATTCTATTGATATTACAAAACACTACAAATTGTCTTTTTTGTCGCCTCCGTGTTTTTATTATTTTCTATGAAACATTTTAAAATAAAAAAATCAATTAAGACAAACGCATATAGCATTTCTAATATAATGATTACAGTAATGCCCAGTGTAATTAAATTGCATTTAGATACACAAACGACAACTTTATATCTACCGACCGAAAGTATAAAGCCACAGATTAAATCTGAATAACAGTTAATTATCGTGATTGACTATCGAACAGTAGTGACTTCGCCAACAAGGCCAATTCCCTTCTCAAGTCGCAGTCAAACGGCTTGACTGAGAGGGATAGCACATCGTATCAGTTTCACTGTTCTGTCCCGATTATATTTCTAATGAGTGGGTGAGAGAACCGCTTACATCGCTCAATAAATCACGAGTAATTGTACCGCAAGAGGACGCTACACTTTGATCTAACTTTGAATGCGTGTGCAACCCCTTTTCCTCCGATCCCCAGTTTCGCGCTTCTGTTACAAAGTCGTCTGCCATGAACCAGGACCGCAGAAACTGGATTGTCATTTATACACAGTCCGGGCCAAAATTCTGTGTCCCTTTAACTATGAGAGCCAGTGGAATGTATATCTATAATAAAACTTCACAACATGGTGGCGTCAAGGACTGTCCGTGGATTTCGACTTCTTTTCAAAGTCTCGGGTCTCATTTATAACTTGAACAATACTAATGGCCTCCTCGGTAGTTGCGCGGTTGAGGGGGTGAGGGGAATATTTGTTTTGGTGGCAAGAACGCTGAAAACCGGAGAGAATCGTAAACTTTGCAATGGCTACCGCAGTCTTGTCATTTGTCTTTTTTAGCAGGCAAAAAAAAAAAATTCTGACAACCACCTTTTCCCCTTTGAAAAAAAACTAAGCTTTGGTTTCATTTAAATATAATAAAAGAAATATTTGGGGTTTGTCACCCACGATGTAGTAAAACGGTTCTTCTGTACTAGTAGATATACGCGGTGATGTGTGTACGTAAACGTCCGATTTTTCTTATATTGGGCTGCATTATTCTATGGAAAGCTATATCGATTGACACTCATTTCAGCATAAAGCTGATATAATGAACTGAATTTTATTACAACACATGTATATGTTGATATATTGTTGACATTATCCTTCATTTGCCTATTTATCTTGCATGTTATTTTTTTCTTATTTCTCTTACCAACATCTACATATACAACTATTATATGTTCATTTGCCTCTTATTTGTGATTCTTCTCGTTCCTTTTTTTTTTACACACATACTCTTGTTTACTGCAAATATATTTCTTCAGTTTCTGTTTTACCATGTTAATTTGAAAAAAGTAGCCTATTTATCTACTTTAAAATTATCGGTTCATTTATTATTCTTATTTGCTTATTTATCTAAATTGAAACAGTGTCCTTTGATGACTTATTAGACGTAAACAATTCCCGTTGACTATTAGGTGAGTTCCTCGAACTGTTGCATCATACCAGTACCGGTACCTTCACTGCTGTATAAGAATAACCATGTAATTATGCTGTAAAAAATATGAATTATCCGGAAGCCTCGCCCATTGTTTAATTGTTATGTAAAGCTATCTCTCCAAAAAGTTTTAAATGAATACCCAAATTACATATACTCTCTGTTCCTGCTTTTGTTTTCTGTTTTATAGATGTTTTCCCTCAACAGTAAAAAGGCAGTAAAAACAGATACATCTACCGGGTATATGGAAAAGAACAGTTAATTAATGAATTAATTTTTAGACATTTACCAGCAAGACACTATTTACACATTTATCTTAAAATATATAAGAGTGAGGAAACACCGAACCGGCTCTGAATCCGAAAGAAGTTATGCATAATACACAGTTCATTTGATCCTAAAGATATCCTCTTTCACTAGCTGAAGGAATCCCTTTATACTGCTGACCTCTTGCGGTGACTTTATGAACTCTATCAATGTTGCATGGTAAACAAACGTACTTAGTAAACATGCTTTTTGAAGGTTTGGTGTGGCTATGCATGTTCATGCCATCATGCCAAACATTCAACAGGGTTAAAAATGATAGTGACACATGAGTAGCCTTGTAGTCTTCCTGCACGAAAAAAAATCTTAAAACGTGCTTGTGCGTCATGCTTTCCTTTTAAAACCATGTCATGCTAAGAAGTGCCGTTTACAGCATGGCCCTACTAAACCTGTCATTGACAATCTGATTTGATATTCACAGTGCAACCCGCTTACCTTCTTCAAACTCTTGAAACTGTCACGATGCCGTCGTGAAATAAAACTTTAAGTCCCTTTTAAGCAATAAAACACGGGGCTCTGATTTGTGCGAAGCATCACTTCCAATTACTTTAATTCATCTCAATAGCTTAAGGTTAGGAACTACTTTCGAGACCTCTGAAGTACCACGTGGGTCTTTCACAGCCAATCGCCTACGAGCTCACAAGTTCAAAGGCAGCCGATCAGATTTAAAGGCCCATATTGTTGTACTTGAGGCTTCCGAATGTAGCTGCACTCAGTCAAATAAAGGAAGTCTCTAACTGGTTGAATTTTATTGAATTCAAACGTAAAACTGAAAGAAAATAAAATAAAACAAAATAAATAACAGAACAAAAATTGTAGCGAAAAATACTGAAAACAAACTTAAATACAAAATAACCTAAAAATTGATAACAAATTTACACGAAGTACATACGAAAGTGTAAGAGAAAGGATAGACGGAAACGTTGCAAAGACCCAAAGCCGGAGAAGTTTACGTTACTTTAGCGTTGAAATAATTTACCTTACCCCCGACCAAGTGTGCTAATATCGTTATAAAAGGATAGATAGAAACGTTGAAATACCCAAAGCCAGAGAAGTTTACGTTATCGTTGAAATAATTACCTTTTCCTCCGACTGGGTGTGCTCAAATGGTGTCGTTAGAGTACCCGTATCGTTCTGTGTAAGAAAGTGAAGTGAGCAAAAAGAAATAGAGAGGAGGCCTTATATATGCTGTGGAATGAAAACTGTTCAGTGCAGGGTGTGGTACAGGCATGTGACGGTGCGGTTAGGTAAGTGCGGTGGCCTGTAACGTTATAATTAGTAGAGAGAGAGAGAGGGAGAGAGAGAGAAAGAGTAAACAGAGAAAGAACGGAAAATGTACTTCGAATGAATAATGAGAAATAAATAAATAAATAAAATAAAATAAAATGTCGCGGGCAGTTACACCGAATCTATTTCAATTAGTCATCGTAGTAGAACCGCGTGCATTTCTATACAACAAGAATCAATAAAATTTGTGGTCTTTTTATTGGGATGTTCGAAGGCGACCAGAGAGTGGATGTTTGCAAGATGTGATGAGGAAATGTCTGATGAGGTCTTTGATCTTTTTCTACGTTTATTGTCAATCTGAGTTTGCATGAGGGTGGTAATAGTCGGAACGACCTGATACAGAGCATAAAATTGTTGCATCGTCACTTCCGCTATATCATCAATTTTGACATTCTTAACAACGTTCGATTTAAATTGCTTATGAGCTGAATGCATTTCCATTCGTATTGCATCATTGTATTACTGTTTATTGTTCAAGTCGTATTAAAAAAACGCCCACTCGCCTTCTGTAAATACCATCATTTAAAAACCATTCAAACATTTCAGTAAGTATATAGGCCTACAAGTTTATTTATTCGAAAGTTGTTCATAATGAACCAAAAACATAACGGTTTGTATTATTCTCAGGTATTGCTATACTCTGAAATCCATTTTATTATTATCATTATTATTATTATTATTATTTTTATTTATTTATTTTTTTACAAACAAACTTCCAAGTTGAATTGCAGAATAGCCATTAATAGCATTCAGCTGAGCAAAAAATGTGTTATTATCATTTATCTATTTATTGCCTATTATATTTTATCATTATCATCAGTTTGTGTTTAAAAAATCATTCCAGAAAAAAAATTGTTTACGCTATTTTTTTTTTATCTTAAAGTGTCCTCATGTACACGTTCTTTAATACTGGTGTTGGCAAAAGCGTCATGAGTATCTTTATTTAGCATACTCTTTTTAATGTTTATTAAATTTTATCTTTCTTATCATCAACATTGGTTGTAGAAGCCCTTAAAACAAAAATGTTCAAGTAAAAGTGGATTTTTTTTATCTTTAAAAGGCGACGATTAAAGAGAGGAATTCCTATTTTACTAGTAAAGGAACTTCCAAAAATAATTTTCTGGCAAAATGTCCTCATATTTCATCAACAGAACCGGGTGCATGCCGGTAATCGTTTTAATTGCTATTACAAGAAATTCTTGTGCACACTAAATAAAACTAAGTATTATGCAAAACCATTTATACAGGATAACATGAAATCATTATTCACCTAAATAACACGTCTTTGTTTCAATAATAATAATAGGTCTCTTGGTTTGCAGTTAGTGAGCGACTTCCATAGGTTCTAATTTTCGGCATTGCCAGCTCGATCTTGATTATATATATATAACCCACATCAGCAATACCGTAAAGCACTGTAAAGCTAACATATGGAAAGGTATAGTGAGCAAACTAGCTCTATAGTGCCCTGACACTCGGGGTAGAGCGACGAGTCGCATTGGACACCCTTATTAATACCCGCTGTCATTCATATTCGAAAAGAGTAAATTATTAACCAGACTCATAATGGAACCAAATTGGACTGGGTAAGAACAGGATGTAAAGTGTCCTTCTCTTTTTTTTTCAATTTATTGCTGCAGCGATAAGCGCTAACAGGCGCTGTCTCCTTCTTGCCACCGTTTGTTTACAAGGTTGTTTATCAACCCGAGGTGTTTCATAATATAAGAAAAGCTTGATCGCACCGACTCACTAACTCCATACGTCTGGTTGATGGAGTCACTGGCTCTTATTTCACTCGTTGACTTAAATAATGGGAATCATCTAACACAGCCCACATGTAAAACGAGGCCGTTGCCACCGCGTGACGTCACTGCAGACTAGAAAACTTGCGGGGAAATAATCCGAGTGGGGTGGAGTTAACTGTTTAACGATAAAGGTGAAACTTAATGTGCCAAATATGACTTTTACAGTTTTGTTCGTTGCATCCTGCACTCGCTAACTGGTCATTGTTTTACCAAACTATCTTTCAAATCTTGCGAGATTGTACTTGCTTTTACACTAGCAATCAAAAGCAATCAAAGTCCCCAAATCCCCAAAACGCGAGGCTTTGGGCATGCTAGGATGATTTCCGTTCTCTTTTGTTTCGTTTTGCGGGGTGAGGGGTTTCATTTCAGGCAGAGGAGTTTTAAAAATGCATTTTCACAGGATTTTTGTCAAGAGGTGACAATTCTAGGATTTTTGTTGACTAGGAAACCGCTTGCTGACGTCACCACGTGCCGACCTCACAAAACAACCTGAGACCGAAAACTGGAGAAAATTTTAAGTCCTAAATGTCCTTAAATTTCTCTAAATGAATCAGTAGTAGTCCAAGTAAAAAAAAAAAAAAAGAAAACGGAAAAGAAAAAAAGACATCCCCAATATTTCAGATTAATGCTTACTTCATTTAATTGTAATATCAAGGATTTATCCTAAGCCAAACTATACAAACTTCTGGTATAAAACTTAAATCACCTGCCCCTCTATCTGAAACCAGTATAGATATATATTTGTGTTCTTTGTGAACACAGAGTATTACGGCACCTGCCAATTCTCCCATTATATGTGATGAAGACACAAGGCTGACCCAAATTTCCCAGTGTTCTGTTAGCATCCTCCCCCCCCCCCCCCCCAATTCCCTACCCAAGTCTTCTCTCCCTGAATGATAATTGTTCGCATTAAGGCAACTGATATCTTACTCCAGACTAAAAATTCCTTCCACCCACCCTATGCAATTAACAACACTGAGATTCGTTTATTTTTTCGCCGAAAGAATCTTTGAGACCTCCCCCCTGCCCTATCTATATATCGCGGCAATTTACGTCTGATTGTGGTACAATTTTAAAGCTGTCGTTCTCTCTCATCTCCCTCTCGAGACGCGACATTTATTGCTCGGCAACGAGGTGCTTGTGAGTTTGAAGCCTACTTGATAACTTGGCAGCGCGTCGTTGGTAGAAGCGACATCTATCTTTTCCCTCCGGCTCCCTCCCCCACCCCCGCCCCCAACAGAAACAGCATAATAAACCTCACGGGACAAAATTAAATCAACTAAGTCATTCCTGTGCATAGCAGGTCACAGTAAATTTCCATCGTCCGCTCTTTTATAAATATTTCGTTTTTCTCCTTGCTAACGAACGTTTCTCCTTGACCCCCCCCTTCCCCAAGCAAAACCCTGGATCCGCCAGTCTTATACTTTAGACTTATGGCCACATGCATCCCTCTGGCGTAAACTTTGGCTGTCATAAGACGTGTTTGTATGGCGCTTCTATAACAGAGGTACTATATCCGTGAATATGATACCAATCTATTAAATAGGCCTGCACTCTTAATATGAGGCGTGTAGGAAAAAAAGTATAACTGGGAAGGGAATAACCATTTAGAAAACAAAATAGCCATCGGGGGGGGGGTGGGGAGAGTTGGGGGGGGGGGGGGATCGGGGGGAGCCTGACTGTCCTAAGCCCCCACCCTTTCTTATGACACAAGTAGTTGACAAAATGTTGGGGTGAGCTTAGATCCCGTAGCCCCCATATGCGGTCTTGAAATGACATCCGCGGGTTGCGTTTTCACGATACAGTTAATTTACCCTCCAAAATGGGATGAGAGAGATTTCCACGACCCATCCTCAAAATGCAGGGTAATATAACTATACGGAAGAAATAGCAGCAAAAAGGAACAAGCCCCTAGCAAAGCTCTAGATCCGTCGTATTTTCAGTGATGTCGGTTGGCGTTTTATTGTATCCATGCGGTAAACTGTTCGTAACCCCAGTACGCGTACTACATTGTACTGTTATGCAGACGAAATGCATTGAACGGTTAATAAATACCGAACGTGAGACCGAATACGCTCAGTGATTAAAACATGGGCTAAATAGGAATCACTAGAGTACAACTAACTGAAATGGCTGAGTTTATCCCTTGTTATTTCTTTTCTTGATACAAAATCGTAGAATTCTCAGAAAAAACACTCATTCTTAAGTCGGATTGGGAACTCATATGGTCTAAAAAATGAGCCGCCCGTTTTTTCTTCTCCCCTTTTCTTCTATGTAGGTTAATTTAAGTCATACAGCCAGTCGTCGAGCTTCTCAGTTTACCTGTTGAACTCCTACTTTAATTTCATTAGATCTCAATATGTTTATTTGTGACCAATCTTTCCGCGTAAAAAGCATCAGAACCAAAAAAGCATCAGAACAAAGCTAAAAAGAGCTACACGTATAATTGAAACGATTCCTTTTTTGGACTTAAAGTGTGTCTGAATTTACCTCTGAAGAAAACACAATGTCGAGCCTCATCGGGGATTCTTCTTTTCATTTTCATCTTCGAATTCGGAGAATTGGACGAGCGTCTAGCCAACTTTGACGCTTCAAGAAGCCGGCGCAGAATCTGGTCGACTGACCCACACGATTTCAAACCAAAGAATAGTTTCCGAAAAAAATATCTCCCAAATGCCGGCCCTAATCCCAACGCCTCTCATGCAGAGACGCTTCTTGTATCTTAAGTAAAGAACGTTATCAGTTCTACCTGCCATAAACACTCGATAGAGGGCTCGTTCTCGCAGGCATACAAGTCAATAGCAGCCATAAATAGTCGATTGTTCATTATTTTCGTATTTTACAAGGGCTATGGATTAGTTTATTACTTTGATATTGTCAGCTAGGACTTGGGGGACGTAACGGAATTTAAGGACTTATCGCCATGGCGTGGGTAAATGGACGACAGCTTTGTGTGAATTGCAACTATTGATCTATGTGGTGTAATCTTTAATATAGGAATGGATTTGCTACGGTTTGATTTAACAATTGATAATCAAGCGGACGCTGATTCCCTTGAATTTAGATTTAAGTGACATTGGATCTTCTGCCGCATCTTCTCAAACGCGAAAAAACTTCACGTATCAGCCATTATCAAAAACGCATCGTTTCTCTTTACAGTAACTGCAAGATGAAATTGGTGAATGATTTTTGAATGGTTGGATTCATATATATATATATATATATATATATTTCTTTTTCATGCATATTATAGTGATTCATGTAAATGCACCTGATCAACACCAGATTCTGTCGATTAATTTAATCTAATAAAACAAAAAAAAAAAAAAAAAAAACACGTCTGATTATGCTTCAAGTCACTATTTTAGCTACCACTGCAGACTACTTCAGAAAGAGCTCTTATGAGGTGAAGTGTTCAAAATCTAACTTTTATAACTCCCTCCCTCGTCGCTTTATCTTCCTTATCACTCTGTCAGGTTAGACATGCTTATCATAAAATTATCTGTATTAACTTTGTAGGTAAATGTAATTACGTTAATTTGAGTTTGATATTGAATTACATTTTTCATACAACGTCGTCATTTGGTCGAATTTACATGTACATGTACCCGATGACGTTTGGACCGCGTCTATTCCACCCACCCACCCACGCAGCCATTGGCACATGCACAAGCGGACATGTTCGACAAATACTCAGGTGACCATGTATAAACTGTCACTCCCATGCACACTCTAACACGCACGCGCGCACAAACACACATGCAATACATATACACATACCCAAGCACCTGCAAGCGAATACAAGTACATTCGTGGAAGTATAAAAATGATAAGTATCTTTGAAGGTCACCTTAGCAAGTAGCCCATCCAGNAAAAAACACTCATTCTTAAGTCGGATTGGGAACTCATATGGTCTAAAAAATGAGCCGCCCGTTTTTTCTTCTCCCCTTTTCTTCTATGTAGGTTAATTTAAGTCATACAGCCAGTCGTCGAGCTTCTCAGTTTACCTGTTGAACTCCTACTTTAATTTCATTAGATCTCAATATGTTTATTTGTGACCAATCTTTCCGCGTAAAAAGCATCAGAACCAAAAAAGCATCAGAACAAAGCTAAAAAGAGCTACACGTATAATTGAAACGATTCCTTTTTTGGACTTAAAGTGTGTCTGAATTTACCTCTGAAGAAAACACAATGTCGAGCCTCATCGGGGATTCTTCTTTTCATTTTCATCTTCGAATTCGGAGAATTGGACGAGCGTCTAGCCAACTTTGACGCTTCAAGAAGCCGGCGCAGAATCTGGTCGACTGACCCACACGATTTCAAACCAAAGAATAGTTTCCGAAAAAAATATCTCCCAAATGCCGGCCCTAATCCCAACGCCTCTCATGCAGAGACGCTTCTTGTATCTTAAGTAAAGAACGTTATCAGTTCTACCTGCCATAAACACTCGATAGAGGGCTCGTTCTCGCAGGCATACAAGTCAATAGCAGCCATAAATAGTCGATTGTTCATTATTTTCGTATTTTACAAGGGCTATGGATTAGTTTATTACTTTGATATTGTCAGCTAGGACTTGGGGGACGTAACGGAATTTAAGGACTTATCGCCATGGCGTGGGTAAATGGACGACAGCTTTGTGTGAATTGCAACTATTGATCTATGTGGTGTAATCTTTAATATAGGAATGGATTTGCTACGGTTTGATTTAACAATTGATAATCAAGCGGACGCTGATTCCCTTGAATTTAGATTTAAGTGACATTGGATCTTCTGCCGCATCTTCTCAAACGCGAAAAAACTTCACGTATCAGCCATTATCAAAAACGCATCGTTTCTCTTTACAGTAACTGCAAGATGAAATTGGTGAATGATTTTTGAATGGTTGGATTCATATATATATATATATATTTCTTTTTCATGCATATTATAGTGATTCATGTAAATGCACCTGATCAACACCAGATTCTGTCGATTAATTTAATCTAATAAAACAAAAAAAAAAAAAACACGTCTGATTATGCTTCAAGTCACTATTTTAGCTACCACTGCAGACTACTTCAGAAAGAGCTCTTATGAGGTGAAGTGTTCAAAATCTAACTTTTATAACTCCCTCCCTCGTCGCTTTATCTTCCTTATCACTCTGTCAGGTTAGACATGCTTATCATAAAATTATCTGTATTAACTTTGTAGGTAAATGTAATTACGTTAATTTGAGTTTGATATTGAATTACATTTTTCATACAACGTCGTCATTTGGTCGAATTTACATGTACATGTACCCGATGACGTTTGGACCGCGTCTATTCCACCCACCCACCCACGCAGCCATTGGCACATGCACAAGCGGACATGTTCGACAAATACTCAGGTGACCATGTATAAACTGTCACTCCCATGCACACTCTAACACGCACGCGCGCACAAACACACATGCAATACATATACACATACCCAAGCACCTGCAAGCGAATACAAGTACATTCGTGGAAGTATAAAAATGATAAGTATCTTTGAAGGTCACCTTAGCAAGTAGCCCATCCAGGGTTACTTTAAGTACTTGCCCGATAATTCTACATTGCAAATTCAACTACAATTTTCAAATTAGAAAAGGGAGATTTCCTATGGAGTAAAAAACATATTCACGGATGAGACATCAATAAATGACCGTTGTCAGGAAAAGAGTTTATCAAGTTCCCAAATACATCTTTTTTATTCTTGACAAGTACGCAAAATATAAACTCGAAATAGTAAATAACTTGAGAGTGCTCTAAGAATAGAAGGAAAATAAATAAAAAATATCTAAAATATTAGGATGTACAGCATGAAACTGTTATCACTTATTTTTCTGAAATTCAACCAAATTTGGTGAGAAGTTTTTTTATCAAATTATCAAGTCAACTTATAAACAGACAGATGGGATAGCTATGAACCGAAATGTGAAGAAATAAATATACACAGAGTAGCGTCGCAAAGAACAAGAAAAACTGGGAGCTCACATCTGTAGCAACAGTTAAAGTACTGCTGAGGCAGCGTTGCAGTATACAACACACAAAGAACACAGAATATATTCGCACTTTTCCGTTTAAATAAGGCATTTCACAGTCATCCTTTAATTCAATCTATCATAAAATGATTCCTCTCCACCCGCATGATGATGACATTCACCTGATAATTTTTACGGTTTTTCATAATAATAGACAAAGAAAAGAACTTCATTCTAAAAAGTTATAAGTCAAAAAAAGAATTACACGCTGGTTTACTCAGGAGATAAGCTATAGAAGAAAATCAGAAAAAAATAAAATATTGCAAAGCTAAATGCAATTTTCAAAATATAAATTAAAAGTACTCTTAAAAGAATATAATCGCCAAAAAATTTCTCGGGAGAAAAGCAATTGTCTGACTCACGAATCATTCCTCGACCTGTTTGTTCATATGATGTCGGTGTATTATTTCATTTTTTTATTCAATTAGCTAGTTTTAAATGACTGACTGACCAGTCACTAACAATGTCATGCTCACCTACATTTTTGAAAGAACAGAGCACACCAGGTACTTTAATTTAACGGATTTTACACCTTTCAAGGTCTGAATATGATTGCTAGCTTGTAGGATAAATAGACGAAGAAAATATGACTTAGTGGGATTTTCAAATGCGTACGTGTGCCCTTAAGTGGTCGAAAAGCACCGGATAACCTGAAGACGGACATACTATAGGGTTGTATATACATTACAAACTATCATAATCTTATATTTGATTAATTCTTAATTCGCTCCTCTTAAATTCTATTGCAAGCCTCAAGATTCAGGACATTATGGACAAAACTTTGTTAAGTAAATAATGAGTTATTTTCCAGCTGATAAATTTGACCTTTATTTTGTCTGCTCATGCATTGCGCTTTCATAAATAAAAAATATTTAACTGAATACAGGGCGTGTCTCAGCACAGTATGTGTTGATGAAACGCGAAAGAGGTGTGTTATTAGTATATAATTGATAATAAAATCTTCTGCAAAAGGTGATTAATTATTTAAAAAGTCGGTCGCCTTTTAAATGCTGAAGGTGATATTTGAAAACGATGACATGTCATTGAAAGTGGGAAAATTTTTGGTCTGCGATCTACATCAAATTGTTCAGCAGTCTTTTTATTCTACACTAAGGTGTTGCACTCATTTTTAGTTGCTTCTGTTGTGAAATCTTCCTAGCACTCTGCTGCCGGTTTTTGCAATGAATCATTTATCAAAGATGTCGGGATACGCGGACGTCATTATCTCCTTCATTCAAGATATGTTTGTCTTTATTATCATAGAATATGGTGTATATAGTATTTATATTGATATTAACATCAGGTGTCCATAATCACTAACGCAAGGATGCCTTTCTGTACAGTAAAGTAAAGTAAAGTCAAGCAAAATAAAGTAAAGTAAAAGCCAATAGCCGCCTTGAAATGGATGCAAAATTGAAATGTTGATCCAAAAGGACCTTTAGCTTTCTAAGAGTAACGAAACGACATTTAGCACTAGTAATGTACAACTGTTCGCAAATTTCACACTGCAGCCATCTCGACTCCGCCAACACGTGCATCACGTAAACATGCGTGCACGCACACCAGACCACGCCTTAAAATTCACACGTTCAGTGTGTTACTCTTAAAGGCCATACGACGAAAAAAATCTGGTTATGTTCCTTTTTTTCAAACTGTAATC